ATGTTTAAAGGAATTAAAGAAAAGCCGAGATGCGAGAGCCGATTTGTTGAACTAGCGAGTCGACCTCGATGAAGGGGCCGACTTCGGCAAAGATAGGGTCCTGGAGAGCCGACGTTAATGACTGCAGACCGCATTAAATGACTGTCAATAAGATGTCTTGGCCTACGTGAAAACCATCATTACCAGGGGACCCACCTGCCATAAATATGTACCTAGGCTGCCATAGCACATTAAATGCTGCCGAATCTCCTCAGAAGACGGGTTGATAGTTACTACAAATAACAAAATTAGATTAGATTCGAGGATTTTTTTCCCGACACATTTATTCCCGCATTAATCACCTCAATTTTGCTTAAATACCGACTTCATGTACTGAAAACCGACATGCAAGTCTAAATCCCGATATCAAACTCTTTCAATAAAATCACCTTTTTCGCACTCCTAATCATATATTTTATGTTTAAATAGTTGGTAAAATCCTTTTATAAACAGTCGCCACATCCTTCACGACACGGCCCGCCATTGCCGCTGTCGCGGGTTGAGAAACGTTCACGACCAACGACCAACAAGCTCCAAGATGGGTGGTATTGCCGCCGCGTCCGACGTCGCCATCTTCATCTTCTCCATGAGCGGTGGTGGCGACGCCAGACCGTTGGCTGGTACGGAGGACCTAGATGGAGAAGAGGTTTGTGTGGTTTTTTTGTTGGAAACTAGATAAACAATGGGGGCCTATCTGAAATTTTATTAGTTTTTGTACATTGCACATTTAGTCCTGGGCATGTTTTGCAATTAACAAAAGATTAAACATCTACTTGGTCGGAGTCAAAGAGAACAATCGGGTCACCATTCTACACAACACTAACTTACAAAGTGGTCTAATGCCTTTTCGTTACCTAGGTGTTCCCCTCACCGCGGAACGAATCACCGGTCGGCTCTTTGATGATATAATCAACCAAATTGGGAGCCAACTTAGTCGGTGGGGTGGTGACACACTCTCTTATGCCGGAAGATTGGAACTTATCCGCTCGGTAATCCAAGGCATTGAGTGTTTTTGGATGGGTATCTTCCATTTACCCGGTGTTGTGTGAACCAAAATCATCCAACTTTGTAGGAGGTTCTTATGGGGCTCAAAAAGTGTTCCCATGGCATGGGATAGTTTGTTCTTACCACGATTGGAAGGTGGAGTGGGACTCTGGGACTTGGAAGCTTGGAACCAAACGTTACTCACTCGGACGCTTTGGAACATGCAAGCCAAGAAGGACACCCTTTGGTACAAATGGAGTTATAACATTTATTTAAAGGATAGATCCTTTTGGGATTGGCAAATTGGCACGAAATACCCACCTCTCTTCAAGTCTCTCTTTGAAATCCAACAAGACTTGGTTGAAAAAGCGGGAAGTGAACAAGGAGTGGAAGCCCTTCTTCGCGGTTGGAGTTCTCGAGATAAACAAGACGGGTCTAGTAAATGCTACGACTTCCTAAGACTTAGAGGGCCCACGAGGCCATGGACCCGGGTTGTTTGGGGGGCTTGCAATACCCCCAAGCACTCATTCATTCTATGGTTGGGAGTGCTTAATAGACTCCGGACAAAAGACCGACTCGAATTTCTTGACGAGGACCCGATTTGCCCTCTATGCGGTGTTGCGAATGAATCTTCGAGCCACCTTTTCTTTGAGTGCTCCTTTAGCTCAGAGATTTGGGGTGAAGTTCGTGCTTGGGGTAGCCTACGCCATAGGCCATCGACCCATAAAGGTGCCCTCAAATGGACCAAGAAGGAGGCGAGAGGGGCGGGTTGGAGATCCAAGTTGAAGAAGGCGGCACTAGCGGCCATCGTGTACTTCATTTGGAATGCAAGAAACCGGTTGATATTTGAAAACGAATATCAATCCCCGAGCCACGTGATCCGGAAGGTAAAAACTAATGTATATCGTACTATCTTTACTCTTTATCCTAATGTGCTTGCCGAGTTTGAGAGGCGGTGCCTCGGCCTATGATATTTGTTTTCGTGACTTTTGAGTGAGCAATCGACATGTGGTTGTCCTCGTATATATTATCGCGTGAATGAGGAACCGACTTGTGGTTGCCCATTGCACTTTTGTACGCCGTTCACCGGTTGTCCGAACTCAATATTGATCTATATATTTACATTTAACGATTAAAAAAAAAAAGAAAATAACAAAAGATTAATGAATTAACGATAATGTTACATGAAATACATATAATTAGTGTAGAAATGGACATTAGAAATATCGATATATATTAAGTATTATATGAAAACATATTAAATATTATATAAAATGCACATAAGGTGAAAAAATGCACATTAAAAAAAAACAATATTAAATGCACAAATAAATTAATTATTTTGGTTTAGTTTTAATTTGATTCGAGACAAAATATTACAAATTGCACCATAATGGCTCAAAGATTGCACCACATCAATGAAACTAAATTTTTATGTTCGTATTTTTATATTTTAGTTAAATTATATATTTTTGTTTTTAAAAAATCGGTTAATTATGTAAATAAAAGTAAAAAAAACTATAAAAAACTATCGCTTTTTCAAAATGATACTCTTTTTTTCGCTCAGTTCATTGCTTCTGTTTGGGTGAATTCACAATATCGTTTTCGATAGTTCGTAGATTATTTTTTTTTTTTCAACTAAAAAATAATATAAGTATATTAAACAAAATTATTGATATTCTACATATACGATCAATATAAATAAATATTTGTACAACCTCATCTTTAAATAATATATATAGTATTCAAACCAGGTCAAATCGAGGTGGCTCGACCGTTTTGAAGTCAAGGTTTTGACTGTTCCGAAGTCACTCGGTCCGAAGCACCTGCCTAAACCACTCCCAGCTCCGAGTCGAATCGATCCCAGGTCGATGTTGTAAATATTTTTAACAGGAGTAGAATCCAAAGATTCGACACTGGGTCGTA